CGCGGGTTCGAGTCCCAACTTCCAACCCCAACTATCGCTCTATTTCGCTGGGCTTAGGTAAGTTGTCCGAATGGTAGTGCATCCTTTGACACCAATATTTGGGCTGTAAGTATTAGTGGTTTTCTATTTTTCCGGGGTCCCTCTTGAAGATTTTCGGAATCGAATCTCGCCTCGACCGTGATGAAGATGTTCATACACGAATTTGTTTTTGTACGGTTGTACAGAGTGTCTTTGTACGGTTGTACGGCACGCTTTTGTACGGTTGTACCGCTCACTCTTGTCCCGTTCCAGGGTCACCGGTCACCTTTGTGGTGGAGACTCGGAACTTGGAACGCGAGGTGAATTATATCGTTGATGAACCAATCTAGTAGGCGCCCGTTTGCAGGATCGCGCTCTCACGTTTGTGAGATTCCAGCTCGAGGAAGGTCATATCGAACACTATGGGTGGGTGAGCCTATATTCTTGGAATTTCTGGGAAGTCCCTGATGGGGCGATCTTTGCCGAGATCGTGGGAGATTCTCGAATTCGACCTGATATTTGTCTACCGCGTTCCAGCGGCCTCCGGAGCCCCAGTCTTCTACTCCACGGAAGATGACATGCTTGACTTCTCCAAGTTCATCAGAAAGATCGAGAAGCAAAAGGCCCGAAGATCGGGCATTGTGGAAGTGAATATCCCATAAAATGATGTCAACTGACCCCACATGGAGTCCGCATCACAGCTAGCCGGGGTTTCCCAAATCTAATCGTTTCCTTAGGTAATCCCCCCTCCAGCAAGGCTGGCGCGACAACGTAGCGGCAATGAGGTCAGCCAAGTGGAGCGACTGATGACTGATGATCGACCGGCCCTTGAGAGCCACATTCAGCGGGGCAGCGGGTTTATTCTCCCTTGAGTACAGGGCCTTGAAGCCCATGACGGTGAAAAGTTTCAGGCAGAAGACGAATACGTCGAAAGCTCCTACGGACGAAGCGACGGCGGAGCTCGAATACTGGGCCTCAGTTGGAGATAGCAAACCACTCTATGGAGCTGACGTGGATGCATCACTCCTCCACAAAGACTCTGAGGTGAGTTCTTCCCGAATATTGGCCAGCCTTCCGCGGCCCAGAGGAGAGCCGCCTGCTAGCGGCTCCCATGGTGCTTTCGCTGCTGTGAAGGAATTTTCGTCATCTGTCCCCTGAAATTGAGAGAAATGGCTTCCGTATTCTCAGAGCTTCAACTTGAGAAACCTCGGTACGATCCTGGATCTAGAAGAAAAGACCATACTGGGGGTCACGACCCCTTACTTGTATTTCGGGACTTGGCTGTCCACCTTCCCCTGGCACGTCGAGGATAAAAACCTCTACTCGATCAATTTCCTACATCAAGGGGAGGCGAAGTTCTGGTATGGTGTTTCGGCAGGCTTCGGAAAAAGATTCGAGCAAGTTGTCTCCAGTGAGTTAGTCTTATGTTACGGGCGATCCCGTTAGTCATTGAGAAGTCGGGGAGCTCACTCCAACGTGGGACGAGACCACGCCGGTCGATCAAGAGAAGGACTGTTGTCGTCGAGCGACTCTCTGATGACGTCACGACTCTTGGATCGAGCGTCGCGTATCGAGTAACCGAACGCGTTCGACACTGCGGCTATGTGCGGGCTGCGTGCAGGCTCGTCTGGGATTCACTCTAGAGAGGATAATCTAATCCGGCCCCGAGGCTTCGAAGTCGTGACCGAATAGACTGCACGGCGTGTATGAAATCATGATGAAGTTGCCTTCTCGTCGTCGGCTCGCTTGGGTGGGAGACCCTAGGGGTCGGTGAGATGTATGCGTGTATAAGCTCGATGCCGCACGCCACGGGCCACCGTCAGCCACCGTCTTACATTACTTCAAGGACATTTCCGCTCTCTGAAAGCCCCCCTGAGAACTATTCCGATTCCCCTTGATAGAGCTCCTACCGGACCAGCACGAAAACTGTGCCGCGTTCCTGCGGCACAAATCGACCGTGATAGCTCCCGAAATCCTGGAAGCAAGGGGGATCCCTGTCGTCAGGGCCTGCCAGAGGCAGGGTGAGTTCGTGATCACGTTCTCAGGAGGCTACCACAGCGGCTTCAACTTCGGCCCCAACATTACAGAGGCCATCAATTTCGCTTCCAGAGCTTGGATCCCGCGAGGGATCAGAGCCCATGAGGTGAGTGAGGAGAAGTCCCCTCTCTGCAGCCTTTGGTACAGCCTACGCAGGGGAGCGATATATAATACTTTTGCAATTTGCTCTACACCCGCCAAATTCAATTTTCTTCCTCCGTTCCATGATGAGCGACGAGCCGTAGTTGCTATCATTTTAGTTCATTCGAACCCATCCAGAGATTCCATCCATCCACTCTGAATGACTTCCCGGCTAGAGCTGTCAGGAATTCATGATATATTTTCTCCGTTCTCAGTGCGATTGTATTTAAGCAATACCTCTCGATGTGGAGGAACTCAAGCGAAAGTACGATGAACGTAAAAAAATACAAGCGACAAAAAAAAGGCGAAAACCTGGATGCCCCGGAAGTAGTACGTATCCAATGATAGCGGTTCATTCTCTCGAAATGCCGTGAACCATGCTCATCATGCATCATTCTTTTCAGTCAAAGACGCTATTTCCAAGAGCTCTTGGGGAGCTGTAGGAAGAACTGATCGAAGGTCGCAAGATCTCTTCAAGAACAATATAAAATTATCTTACATTCATCAATCTGTGGATCAGTGAAGTTATGATGGATTCTCTAGGTCGAGTTATTTTTCGGGGGTCGGAAGCTCTGAGAGGAGCTGAGATCTGGTCTCTCGGGGAAAGACGCGTTTTTTTCTCCCAGAACGGCTGGGAGCGCTCCCGATCTGATTACATATTCGAATTCCTAATGGAAAATGCTTCGACTAGAAGGGAAACAGCACTCGATTCGGTCAAGATCTCGTGAAGTTATGATGGATTCTCTAGGTCGAGTTATTTTTCGGGGGTCGGAAGCTCTGAGAGGAGCTGAGATCGGGTCTCTCGGGAGAAGACGCGTTTTTTTTTTCNCCCTAGAAGGGCTGGGACGCGCTCTCGATCTGATTACATATTCGGATTCCTCATTCGGAAAAAGCTTACGACTAGATGGGAAACAGCACTCGATTCGGTCAAGA